CAGATTTTCGGGGCCTACTTCTCCAAGTTGACGCACCCACTTACGCCGTGACTAATGCGCCCGAGGGAAGGAAGAGATAGAGAGAGAGAGAGAGGCGGCATCCCAATTTCGACGACCTCAAATGAATTTTGTTAGTCTCTTTACTGAAAACCTCCCGAAGCTATTCGCGGACAAAACCCTCGTGTCACGTGCGGCAATCTCTCTACCTACGTTATTTTATCTCTAGGTTATCGTTCTTATTCTGCATGCAAAGAAATTTCCTAACACGCGACGAAAGAAGTGAGCTTATGATTCGAATAAGAGCGATGAATTCTACTACATTTAATATTTCTGTGACCCAAATTATCAAAATCCTCCCGACAATCTCATTAAAGTGACGCGTTTGCGTAACAATTAGCAATAACCGAAGCTGCCTCGTAATTTAGAAATTCGACGAGTACACAATTGAAATTAAATGGAGCCACTGAAAAGGTGGCGTAAGACAACTTTTAATTATCCTTCCATTAACGCTGGCAAATATAGTCCAAAAGCGCAAACAGCAAACGTCGCCTAGATCGAATTAGCATATCGAACCCGGCTAATTTTACGGCTGGAACATTCCATATCGATGTCTGTTTGGTGTTTGTTCAGCAGCTCAGATTTCCTGGTAGGCCTCACAGCCAAAGCATTTACACTGTGAATGACGAAAACCAAACTCGGAGGCCCCAGAGCTAATTTCGAACGCTCGTTGATCGAGAAAAATCTACGAAATAAAAGTGCGGAAAAAATATAAGTAAGATGCTTAACAAGGATTTTAATTTGAAATTTGTTTTGTGTCACCGTCTCAGTGAATTTATCTTATTTCAGTTCGACATCGAATTTATGTATAAATATTAATTAATAAACAAATCCGAATGCTAATTGAAAATAAATTATGTTAAACTCATCGTTCGATCTTTCTCCCTTGTGGCAAAAGGTTGAAAGAAAACAGTTTGCGTTGCGTCCGAGCGTTGTTTGTGAATTCTTAGCCACCTATATTCGAGAGCTGCAGCTGATTATTCTTTCACGAAGCATAGAGGTATAGAGGCAGAGCTATACGGCTATAAGGTTTCGTGATAGCGCAAGACAAAAATAGCATGTGCTCTGATCGATCGTTGCACTTATCAGTTGGCACAGAACACTGTTTAGAAAGAAGCCGTTAACCCGTCACCTACATTCGGTTTATTATGCATACAAGCGTCGCTGCACCTTATCAGTCTTCTGTCCGCATCGTGTGTCTGTCTGTCGCTTTCGGCTAATTCAAGAAGACTCAAAACTTCCAAGACTTTTAGTATATGTTATATCGTAACAATAAAAGAAGTATATTTTCTCTATACTTTTATATTTTACATTCTCAAAGAAAAATTAAGCAATTAGGCAGCTAAGAATAAAGTATAATAAGTAAAACTTTTCAATATTCTAATACTCCAAAATTGATATATTTCTTGCAAATGACTTATTAATATTTATATTACGCGTCATTATGTATCTCCGTGTTGGAAAAACAGACGAAGACATTTCACAAGGTTGTAAATATAAAGAAATTATAATTTCCAAAAGTAATAAAGATTTTAGGCGCTGTTGACGAAGAAACTCAATTAAAACAGGTTCCAGGAATTCTTCCAGGAACAAACTGTTTATGTCTCTGTTAGTGCGTAAATATTTTCGGGGACGATCCCAATCGTTCATTCAGTTATCCGAGGAATTTCCGTCTTGGCTGAGATTTCCTTTGAAACTTTTAGGTTTTATAGCCGCCTTTGTAGCACAGAATCCCTCTCCGGATTCCAAAAATGGAAACTTTGTAGCGAGTTCGAAAGTGGAAGAGACTGAAAGTGGAAAATACTTGGGGCAATTTCTTGATAATTCTGACTCGTCGCGACCCGCTAACTCAATGTATTTACTGAATTTTTCTATTCAGTGTGAACCGAGCGCAAGTCAAGAGCACTCGGGAGAAAAACGATATTAATCGCGTTTCGTGCCAGTCTAGTTGTAGATTTCTAACAGTGGAAAGCGCGATACCGCGGACAGAAACCGCGAGAGAAACAAGAGGAAGCTATCCCGCGCGTTCCTGCACTCTTTTTGTTTTCCTTATTCATTCTCAAGGCGGTCATTAACGGCCATCTACCTGTTCTACGACCCTACCAGCTCGGGATTTCCTCGTCCTTTTCCGCCGCGGTAAACTGAGCTCTACGCACTCTATTACCGCGTTCGTTACATTTCTGGATAGCTCGGATCATCGCGCAAACTTTCTCGCGAACGGATCAATGAAAAAGGTGGCGAGATCAAAGGCAAAGCGCTCGAAAGTCGAAGCTCAGATATGAACCCGAACCGAACTGAAAAGTCATTAAGACGTAAGATTAAATAATTGCCGAATAATTTCTAAAGTGAATATTTTCTGTCGAGTATCGTGATAGAATACGTAACATACAGATATAATATAGAGGAAAGCCTTTATTATGAGATAGACTCCTAATATGAGATAGCGACTTTTCAACATCCAATTTTACAGGTCAACTTTCGAAACGATCTAACAATGAATTTTCCAGTAGACAGATTTCACTCGAAGGACAAGAAATTCATAGTGGAGCCGGCATAAGAGGGTGGGAAGATTAAAGAACCGATTGTACTATGCTTCAAAGCATGCACAGTCGCAGTGCTGAAGTGGCGACGACAAGTAATTCCATCTTCATGTTCAATCTTCATGAGGCTCAAAACTTTTCAACCCACCCGTGTTGGCTATTATCTAGTTGGCTATTATTGTGTTGTACTATACTTTTACAGCAGAAACTATATATACTGTATTTTGACGTTCTCCTCTACAAAGTGTCATGCCAGCAATCTACAGTTACAACGTCCGAGATTGTTTTCTACCCCAGAAAAAGAAGTCACGCTTCGGGGGAGATCGCCCCCGAGAGCGATCGTATCAACACGTTTCTTTAACGAGGATAATTTCGGGGTGGCGCGACATCGTGATCTACCACGTCTGCGTTTCGCTCTGATTCTACTCGTGTGCAATTTCGTGTGTGGGCACACACACATGTGGTACGTGCGTGAACGCGAAGGTGAATTTTTGCGCCTCTCTCCGTGAGAAGGAACGCTCGCACGGTAAGACACTGATATATCTTGTCGGGGGGCGCCGCCGATCCCCGTACGTTGGATACGAGATCCACCCGTGTATATTCGAGTGCGTACACGGATGGGGCACGCATGGATGACTGGGAACCCATTCCATCCCGACGCGTGAGGACGATCTTGATCGGCGACGTGAGATCGCACGAGGAGGAACGGAGAACACCCGCAAGAACGACCTCGATTCGCGTAAATCGCTTCCCTCGATCCCGCGGGAAGAATTCTTTTTGAATGAGGGATCCTCTATTAGATCCTATTACATGTGAATCCCATCGCTTCCTGTGTAATTACCGAGTCACCGTTGCATGTGTTCGCGCAGGGTTCGCAGGCTGCTGCAGAACGAAATTTTTTGCATATATTTAATCGCTCATTTTTCTGGGACGTTTAATTAGCACTTGAGAAAGATCTTTTCGTACTGTGGATAAAGAACCGTAATCTTCAAATCAAGAATGGTTAAATGAATTCTAACGTGGACGTCAGTTTTCTGTTTCATTTTTTAGTGAATCCTCTAGCCCAAATTAACAAACTCACAGACGGCGGATAGACTCTGCGAATAATAAAAACCGAATCGTAAATCCAACGGCTTAAGTAACTTGAGCATTTTTAATTCAAGTAATGGGCTAACAAAATCATTTCAGATATTACGTCCAGATCTTAAAGCCCCTATATCGAGTGCCAATAAAATTATGAATAAAACTTTTAACAATCACGATGCAAAACAGAAAGGAAAAAGAAAAACGCGCGATCGCACGACATTCTTCAGTTCGTACAAAACTGCGCGGTTTGCATAATTTCGTTCGGATGCCGAAAATAATGTTCAAGTAACAGCAAGCGGCAGCAATTGCGGCTTTTTGCGGTTATTAGCTAAGATGTCGGCGCTACTTGCGAGTCGAGACCACGTACCGTTTATTACGTGTCTTAAGTAGGATTACGAGGCGGCCGGATGCGCGCCCTTTTACCTGGCGCATAAAGGAATCTGCGACCGAAATTTTCCTCGGCGCGACGTAATGGCACCGATAAAAACTTCAACAAACGTAGCGTGCGTTAAAGTCGCGGTACACCCATCGTCACGTTTCAAAACTAGCAGTAAATTCTTTCGCATCGTACTTGCCCAGACGTTAACAATGATCCCTTAATTCAAGAAACAAAAAACAAACACGGCACGACAATCTTGAACTGTTTTCTTAAAAACTATTTTCTCAGGATCAATTGTTGCGCGAGAATTAGTAAATTTCAAATTTGACTAATCTCTTTGTGATAAATTACGTGGATATTGTGTAAAACAATAAATGAACAGTTAATATTCAGATAAAATAAATCGGGGAGGCCTTGATCCTGCGATCTCTGAACTATACGGCACAAGTGTGAACCGGTCTTTAAATGGTTTCGTAACATCGTGGGCCCAGAGGTCACAACAGAGCGACGGAGCGTTATTATGCGCCGATCGTTCCGAATCGGTCGGTTGCCGTTGAACGCGCAGAGAACATCGTCTTCTTGCCGCGTTAATTAATTGCGGATCCTCGGTTTGGCCGCGCGGAGTCGCGCGGTCCCCCCCCCCCCCCATTAGAGCTTAAAAATAATTGAACTGGATTCCAACGTGTCAAGGCTGGCGCATCGGCCTCGTATCGGTCCTTTTCATGTCGTTCATTAGTCATCGGGCCGCTGGTCCCGCGATAAACCCGTCAACAGCCGGGGTCCTTTATGAGCCTTATTAAGGCCTTTTTATTTCGAGATATCAAAACGCCGGGATATCGACACACGAACGGAAAGAGCGATAATCATAATTGCAATTGTAGCGATTCTTTTCGAGACGCGAATATCGAGGGGAAGGAAAGGAATTACGAGTGGCTTACCGGTGACCCTGGTACGAGGTCTTGACGAGCTTCACCGCGAAGAGGAACTGTATGGCGCAGACCAGCAGGCAACAGAGATTGAGGGACAGGGCGAGGGCGCACAGCGCCAGGGTGACCTCGTAGACGATGACAAACTCCTCCGGGCTGATGAGACTGTTGGACGTGACCGTGAGCGGCGAGATCTTGAGCAGGAAGATGACCGAGAGCAGAGCTAGAAGTAGAGATACCAGGCAGAGCAATCCGAGGCTCGTCAACATCTCCTTCACGCCGGCCTCGTCGTTCCGATGGAGATTCCTGGACAGGGATGACGACCAGGAGGCGTTGAGGGGTATCACCGTCGGCCCACCGGCCACCTGGCCGGCCACGACGGGAAGCGCGGATGTGGCAGGCGCGGGTGACGGCGTGGTCTGGCTCGGCAATCGCGACAGTCTGGAAATGTCGAAGCCGCCGTTCGCCTTCGGCCTGTCCTGATGCGAGACGCTCGTCTGCGAGATGACAGTGTGGCCCAAGTGGCTCGCCGAGACGTTGTGATTGTTATTATTGTTGTTACCGCCACCGTTGTTGCCGTTGACGCCGCCCACCGGGCTGACGCTGTTGACCGAGTGCTTGGAGGTCGACAGCGTCGACACGTTGAGCGCGTGCGAATGATTGAGGCGTTGCGACAGGTTGTTGACGCTCAGCTGAGAATGGTTCAGCGGATGCCGGTGCGTCGACGAGGGAGTCGTCGCCGATTGGTGCGCGCTCGACACCGCCGTCGGTCTCGCCACGGAATCGTACACGTCGGCCCCGCCGTTGTTACCGCGATGCCCGATGACGCCGCCACGTATCCCGGCGCTTCCGGTGTAGTGGTGATGATGAAGATGTTGCTGCGGCTGTGGCTGTTGCTGCTGCGGCTGCGCCTGGGACTGTTGCTGTTGCTGCTGCTGCTGTTCCTGATGCAGCGAACTGTTGTGCAAGTGATGATGGTGGTGCCCGCCGTGCAACGAGCCCGAGCTCGTCTGATAATCATTGTGATGATGCCTGGAGCCCGTTGACGACGGCTGCCCCGTCAGAATGTGCTTCAGCATTACTCGACACGCTGCTGTCACGCGGAGTGAGGCTTCTTCACTTTTCTCCCGATGCGCTGACCCTCACATGGCGACCTCGTGACGGAAGAGAGTACTGAATCGCACCGACTCCGCCGTGTCATAGCACGTTACCTTCGACCTTCCTCAGACTAGATTCGTTATCGTGTCAGAGGACGTCACTTCGTTCTTCATCACGTTGCACGTCTTGCGACGAAACCGATTGTTTTGTCGAGCTGCCAAGTCACGTAACACACATAACGCACAACGCATTAAGTTCAATTCTCCTCAATTTAGATTCTTCGTGCTCAAGTATGTCACTCCTCTCTTCATCACACTGCACGAATGTTACGCACACAACGATTAAATTTCTCTCTAAACCCGCGATGCCGAGTCCACCGCGAATTGATTATCCAGTTCGTCAATTAGGAAAGTTTCAAGCTAATTTAACCTTCGTCACTCTAAAACACGCTCGCAGTAAAATTAATTGCCTCTTAAATTTGTCGGGCTCTTTTTAATCTAAATACGTAAAGGCACGTCTATTCGCCGGTTTTCACATTGGAGATACCTCTCGACCGCAATTAGTTGCTTAAAGCTAGAAGGGATATGCGTGAACCAAGGCTCGTTTCAGCGCTACGTTCCCGGACTCAGCGAGTTGCTGCACACCAGTTGCTCCACCATGGCGACGGCCTCCACCAGACGGCGGCGGCGACTCTCTCACATGTCGGGTTCACAGCGTGGAACTATGCGACGACAAACGATTCGCTAAGGGCATGATCGGGTCGATCAGCGCGAGGGACCTCTCTCTCTTCTTCTCCTTCTTTTCCTTATCAACGACGACGCAATCGGCCAATCGGTACGTTAAGGCGGCTGCAAGCTCGGTTTTCTTCCACCGTCTTCTCGTCGGCTACGCACGAGCTCGTCAGCCGGCATGGCTTCCGAGATGGTGCCGGCGGTGCCTCTGGAACAGGTCGGAGAAAATAATTAATGGACTGACTGTTCCGCCGTCGGTCCGAATAGTCTGACCGTAAAAAGAAGGATAGATACGGGATACAATCTATCCGGCGCGGCAACGAAGAAAACGAACTTGTCCCTCTCCCTCTCGGTGTATCGCGGCTTCGCGCGAGCCGAAGTTTGGTCACACGCGCGCGCGAGTTCTGTGTCAAACAGGCCGGACTTTTAAGGAATACAGCGATGAGGAAGTAAATCACCTCATTAGAGCCGGATTAAAAGCGTCGAATGAATGGAATTGTAAAGGGGACTGTTATCCAGCACGGAGGCAAGAAGTAAAGTAGGTAACACGTCTCTCTCGAATACCGGTGAGAAGAGAATAGCTTCGTTTCAACAGACCGCAAGCCGGTGCATCGTGACGGAGCTCTTTAAAGCGCGACCGTCTCTACTAACACAGAATGTAACGTGAAAAGGTTCTGGAATCGAAATCATCATCGCGGCAGTTCTTGTCAGCGTTTCTCAATCAAAGCGTAAAAGCTCTTCGGCACTCGACGCTCCCTCCGTAATTCCCACTTTGTTTCAACCTGTTCAACGCGATTCCGAGCAATCAGCTGTTTCTTTATTTTCGAAGCATTTTTTCTCCGCAATATAGTTGGATGCCTACATTTTTCTCGACGAGTGGTGAAGGCTCCAAAAACGATCTATGAAATCGATGAGGGGAAAGGCCAATGTGAGCCTATAAGCGCGGAAGTGCTTGGTTCTTTTGGACAATTATCTGTTATCTCAGCCCTCGAAAAAGGATCGAAACGTCGAATAAAAGGGAGAACATTTTTTTCTACACTAAAACCGGAGCACTGTGTCCCGCGCTCATTGGCTCACATTGTCCTTTCCCCTCGTCGATGTCTACACAGCTCGATCTTCAAAATTCTTTCTATTGCTAAAAAAAAGAAAATACCTGCCGCAAAATCTTGCGTTTCATATCAGATCTCAAGCAAATTCGTGAACGAGGAGCGCGTCTCGAGGACACGGCGGCGTAATTAGAAAGATCGCACGGCGGTACACGTAACACTTTAGCGGGCAGACGATGACCTTTAACGGCGCGCACACGGCCGCACGCGCTCGCGGAAAAGTCGCGTTGCAAAGTGGTATGCGGTCGAGAGGCATACATATATCCGAGTCTGCGGGACGAAGAATCCGAAGACAAATTGGCCGCAATCGCGCGAGATAAGCGAGTCGCGAGGGAAAACCGATCCAGCGGCGTCCAGGGCGTCGCGTGGGACAATCGCGTCGATACTTCATTTACCGTGTGCTCGCGTTATTATCACTTTCTATGAACATACACAGCGGAGAGAAAAGGGGGGGGGGGAAGCCTCGTTGTTCATACATTTCCTCTCACTCGGCACGAGCGGGTCACGCGAGCTCGTCTCTTCGCTTACCTAACGGCATGCACAGAGTCATCCGGAATGTAATTGCAATTAGAAATTCTCCCGTGAATTTTGAGAGGTGATTTGCTTAATTGGAATGTCGCGCGAGAAGAATTCGTGAGGTATTGTACGTTGAGGGCAAATAAATTTAGCAAACAATTCTGACGAATTTCAGTAAATGATCCGTCTTGATTTAAACTGATGTTCGCGAGTTTTATGTTATTGAAATTTGAATTTGAAGTTTCATCGTCGCCTTTCGTTAACGCCATGACTGTAGTTTTCTCTTCGCGTACGCGGAGAGAATTTCTGCTTTAAAATTGATCCTGTAAATTATATAATCGTGGAACAACGTGGCACTTCGAAGAATTTTATGAGTTTTTGGAAAATTTTCCATACATTCTACTAATAATTATACTTGGTATACATTTTATTAGTAGAATGTATGGTAGAGTTTCACAAAATTGTCATAAAATTCTTTGAACTGCCCACGATTGCACGATTTTCAGGGTAGATTTTAAGAGAAAATTCTCTCGTGCATCGAGTACGTGTTAAATAAAGGAGAAAGGAGAATATTAACGTGAAGGGAAAAATGGCTTTATTGTCATGTCAATCCGTTTCATGCAATGCAACGATTAAATGGTCGGCATGTATACTTTATTGAACGTGCTATTACTGAGAAGCATGAAGAGACTGTCATTCCGGATCGATGAACTCGATTATAACTCGGCACCGCAACGCCTACGTGTCGTATATGAAAAACATGTTTAAGGGGTGATTTTTCTTTCCGTCCTGCTCGCGAGGATAAAATATATTTTCGCAATTCTCCAGGTCGCGCCCCTTCGAGGCGAGCAACTCCGAAAAATATCCGGGGAACGGCGTTATTTTCCGAAGGGGACACGATCGATTTGTTTCCCGCATCTTTTCGCGATACCGTTACTCACTTCCGTTTACGGTTTTCTTTTTCGCGACGCTGGAATAACTGCGTGGCGTTTCGGCCATTCGCGCACCAATTTCCAATACGAAAATCGTATTCAAGCTACGCATTTATTCCGTGTCGTCTTGTTTTATACGAGGCTTCATAAAATTCGTAGGGGGGAACTCGAGTCGGCGAGCGCCAGCAACGGATCCAGGTCACTGCTGCTAAAGAATGTAAATAAACCAAGTCCAGAATACATCGTTATCCAAAGTTACTTTTGCATCGAACTTGCCGTCGTCGCCCGCTACGTCGCGCTGCGTTACTTCGGATAATCTACTCGGAAGCTCTCTACGCTTTGTTCTAACTCAACTACACCTGACAATTAGTCGTTTTACTCGCTTTCCGGCGCTCGTAACAGATGTAGAATGTAAGAGGCTGAGCACGCGTTGTATCTTAGTTGCAAAAGAACCGTCTCTCTGTCCTGATGTATAAAATCAGCGTTATTCGTGAACCAATTACACGTTAAATGTGATCCTACGTGCATCTCGTCGTCACGGTACCCTGAGTCCTTATCGAAGGCAATCTTCGTGGCGTAACATGATTCGATCCCGCAAATTCCTCCCCGCTCCCTCTCTTATCCTTCGCCGCCGCACGATACACCGGATCGCGTGCTACGATCCAGAACCGCAAGATCGGCTATCGTGGGCCGCGGGCACCTCTCTCTCTCTCTCTCTCTCTTTCGCTCTCCCTCTCTCTTTCTCTTTCCGTTGTCAATAGTCAGGCTTGACTCATAGAAACGGGTTCCGCTCGCATTCCGGACGTCCAGGCCGCCGTTCACGGCAGAAAGCGCATCGCCGCATCGATATCCGCGCACGTGATGAGCGGGAGACGCTCGCGGTATCGAACTTCGAAGTAACGTTCCGCAGAAGCGCAGGAGAATCGGAAAGAACAATTTTTTTATTTTTTTTTATTTGAGCTCAGACTTTGGCCCCTCTCAAATTCCACCAAAGTCCGAGTCTCTAACACTTTTACGCTCTTCAAGTTAAGCCAACGGCACACGATACTATTTTTCCTACTGGATTGCTTACGAGAGCCAATCAGGATTTAGCCTTAAGCCACCTGACCTAAAACTCTGCATCCCTATCTCGCCTTTTGTTTTCGCTACGCGACTTCTTCGTCGAAAGCGTGTCCATCATATTATTCTCACATCCAGAGCTGCGACGGTTGTCGCGCATTAATCGATTTGCTTAGTAAATTCATTACTTATCCTTTAGCCCGAGCACTAATCGGTGAACACATGGAGATAATCGGTAAAGACATTCGTTGTCCGCGATCGTAAAGTGAAAACGACGTACGGGCTCCAGCTGCGCGGATCGCTAGACTAATAGTAGAGATGTATTTAAGTTGTCCAACCCGTGCGTCGCGCGTTTATTTGCGGTCGCGTGATTTGCATGGAAACAGAGAGAAGCGTTTGAGGAAGTCGCTTATTAGCGGCAACCAGGTTATTATCAGATGCCATTGACATCATTATCCTCATTCCCATCGTTTCGCTCGGCCAAGAAGAAATCTCTAAACCGGGCTGAACGACGAACGCAATGATCACTTGCAACTTCATTACTGTATTGATTACAAACGCCTTTACATTTTTTTTTATGTCGAGTCTGTCCGGGCAATCAAATTTCATCTTACATAAATATTTCAGCAGAGACTTGGCAGGAACACGTGGCATTTTAAGAAAAACGTAAGCAATATTTGTTAAGGAGCCACTCGTGCCCGGTTTCATCAACGCCGTTTAACTTTGACCTTAGATTAACTCATCCTTCGTCTCTTTCCAACTGCCCCCATAGAGAGAGACAAAGAATTCAGAGGCCAAACCGATCAACTTTGCTTCTAATTTTTCAACTTTGATGTCAGAACGTGGCTAGTTTCCACCAAATCTTTCTGCTCTTCACTCATGAAGTTGATTGTTTTAGATTCCCGAAGACTCAACTGGAAGAAACTCGCTTGTATAAAGATATATTTTTTATGGCGAGGAAGGTTTTCTAAAGAAGTAGAAATTAATTATATTAATTTCCTATCTCGTTCGTGTTCCACTAGCAAACTTTGCGAGATATTGTTTCAGCGCTCACGGCGCGGTCAGCAAAATTATGGGATTACGTGCGCGTGTGAGGTTTCCCCGGTTACGGCCGAAGTCCTATGCGCACCGTTCTTATCCAATTTCACGACTTCGTCGTCTACCATCGCGGTCGCGGCTTCGTTTTCCTCCTTTTTATTTCCCATCGGCGTTCGCGGCCGACGACCGGCTCTCCGTATCGCATCCGGCGATCGATATTTACGAGATAAATAGATCCCTCAAAGGGACGAATACGCGTGTGCTTCTATTCCACTTGGTGTGTACATACATTCCAATTATAACGGCGTTTCAATTGTATAATTTACTAAGCGCTTGCAGATTATTTCCAAACTTCCGTCATCGATCTGCCGATGTAACACTCAAGATTACTAATAATAAACACTAATGTCGTGAATCAGGACCGATATGTGTCCGACAATTAAATTAGGAAATTTTAGTCATGCACCGTCTTCTCTCGAACGATGTTCTGGTTTATCAAACTACGACACCGAACATTTGCAGCATTTTTGCGACCGCAAATACAGTCTTGTTTAGAT